AAGTGAAAGTGAAGTCGCTCAGTCATGTCTGACTCTTTGCGACCCCATGGACTGTAGACTACCAGGATCCTCAGTCCATGTGATTTTCCAGGCAAGAATACTGGAGTGGGTTGCCATTTCCTTCTCCAGGGGATCTTCCCGACCCAGGGATCAAACCCAGGTCTCTCGCATTGTAGGCAGACCCTTTACTGTCTGAGCTACCAGAGTAGCCCGAATGACTCCTTTACTTGGCTTCTATTCCTCTGACTTCTGGTTCAGTTTAGTTCAGTTCAGTCACTCAGTCATGTTTGATTCTTTGTGACCCCGTGGACTGCAGCACACCAGGCTTTCCTGTTCATCACCAACTCCCAGAGTTTACTCAAACTCATGTCCATCCAGTCGGTGATGCCATCCAACCACCTCATCCTCTGTCATCTCCTTCTCCTCCTGCCTTTAATTTTTCCCAGAATCAGGGTCTTTTCCAATGAGTCAGTTCTTCACATCAGGTGGCCAAAGTATTGGAAGCTTCAGCTTCAGCATCAGTCCTTCCAATGAATATTCAGGATTCATTTCCTTTAGGATTGACTAGTTTGATCTCCTTGCAGTCCAAGGGATGCCCAAGAGTCTTCTCCAACACCGCAGTTCAAAAGCATCAATTCTTTGGGGCTCAGCTTTCTTCACCATCCAACTCTTACATCCATACATGACTACTGGAAAAACCATAGCTTTGACTAAACGGACCTTTGTGGGCAAAGTGATGTCTCTGCCTTTAAATATGCTGTCTAGGTTGGTCATAGTTTTTTTCCCAAGTAGCAAGAGTCCTTTAACTTCATGGCTTCAGTCATCATCTGCAGTGATTTTGGAGCCCCCAAAAATAAAGTCTGTCATTGTTTCCATTGTTTCCCCATCTATATGCCATGAAGTGATGGGACCAGATGCCATGATCTTAGTTTTCTGAATGTTGAGTTTTAAGCCAACTCTTTCACTTTCCTCTTTCACTTTCGCCAAGAGGTTCTTCAGTTCTTCACTTTCTCCCATAAAGGTGGTGTCATCTGCATATATGAGGTTATTCATATTTCTCCCAGCACTCTTGATTCCAGGTTGTACTTCATCCAGCCCAACATTTCACATGATCTACTGTGCACATAAGTTAAATAAGCAGGGTGACAATATACAGCCTTGATGTATTCCTTTCCCAATTTGGAACCAGTCTGTTGTTCCATGTCTGGGTCTAACTGTTTCTTCTTGAGCTGCATACAGATTTCTCAGGAAGCAGGTAAGGAGGTCTGGTATTCCCATCTCTTAAAGAATTTTCCACAGTTTGTTGCAATCCACACAATCAAAGGCTCTGGCATAGTCAATAAAGCAGAAATAGATGTTCTTCCGGAACTCTCTTGCTTTTTTTATGATTCAAAAGATGTTGGCAATTTGACCTCTGGTTCCTCTGCCTTTTCTAAATCCAGCTTGAACATCTGGAAGTTTGTGGTTCACATACTGTTGAAGCCTGGCTTGGAGAATTTTAAAGCATTAGTTTGCTAGAGTGAGATGAGTGCAATTGTGCAATAGTTTGAACATTCTTTGGCATTGCCAAAATGACAAATGAAAACTGACCCTTTCCAGTCCTTGGCCTCTGCTGAGTTTTCCAAATTTGCTGACATATTGAGTGCAGCACTTTAACACCATCACCTTTTAGGATTTGAAATAGCTCAACTGAAATTCCATAACCTCCACTAGCTTTGTTTGTAGTGATGCTTCCTAAGCCCCACTTGACTTCTCATTCCAGGATGTCTGGCTCTAGGTGAGTGATGACACCATCATGGTTATCTGGGTCATGAAGATCTTTTTTCTATAGTTCTTTGTGTATTCTTACCATCTCTTCTTAATATCTTCTGCTTCTATTAGGTCCATACCATTTCTGTCCTTTATTGTGCTCATCTTTGCATGAAATATTCCCTTGGTATCTCTAATTCTCTTGAAGAGATCTCTAGTCTTTCCCAGTCTATTGTTTTCCTCTATTTCTTTGCACTGATTACAAAGGAAGGCTTTCTTATATCTCCATGCTGTTCTTTGGAACTCTGCATTCAAATGGGTATATCTTTCCTTTTCTCCTTTGCCTTTAGCTTCTCCTCTTATCTCAGCTATTTTAAGGCTTCCTCAGACAACCATTTTGCCTTTTTGCATTTCTTTTCCTTGGGGATGGTCTTGATCACTGTCTCCTGTACAATGTCATGAACGTCTGTCCATAGTTCTTCAGGCATTCTGTCTATCAGATCCAATCCCTTGAATCTATTTGTTACTTCCACTGTATAATCGTAAGGGATTTGATTAAGGTCACACCTGAATAGTCTAGTGGTTTTCCCCCCTTTCTTTAAGTTATGTCTGAATTTGGCAATAAGGAGTTCATGATCTGAGCCACAGTCAGCTCCTGCTGTTGTTTCTCCTGACTGTATGGAGCTTCTCCATCTTTGGCTGCAAAGAATATAATCAATCTGATTCGGTATTGACCATCTGGTTATGTCCATGTGTAGAGTTCTCTCTTGTAGTTCTCTCTTGCGTTGTTGGAAGAGGGTGTTTGCTATGACCAATGCGTTCTCTTGGCAAAACTCTGTTAGCCTTTGCCCTGCTTTAAATAAAGGTACTCCAAGGTCAAACTTGCCTGTTACTCCAGGTATCTCTTGACTTCCTGCTTTTGCATTCCAGTCCCCTATAATGAAAAGGGCATCTTTTTTGGGTGTTAGTTCTAGAAGGTCTTGTAGGTCTTCCTAGAACCGTTTAACTTCAACTTTTTCAGCATTACCAGTTGGGGCATAGACTTGGATTACTGTGATATTGAATGGTGTTTGCCTTGGAAATGAACAGAGATCATTCTATCGTATTGGGGGTTGCACCCAAGTACTGCATTTCAGACTCTTTTGTTGACTATGAGGGCTACTCCATTTCTTCTAAGGGATTCTTGCCCACAATAGTAGATATAATGGTCATCTGAGTTAAATTCACTCATTCCAGTCCATTTTAGTTCACTGATTCCTAAAACGTTAATGTTCACTCTTGCCATCTCCTGTTTGACCATTTCCAATTTACCTTGATTCATGGACCTAACATTTCAGGTTCCTATGCAATATTGTTCTTTACAGCATCTGACTTTACTTCCATCACCAGTCACATCCACAACTGGGCATTGTTTTTGCTTTGGCTCCATCTCTTCATTCTTTCTGGAGTCATTTCTTCGCTCTTCTCCAGTAGTATATTGGGCACCTACCGACCTGGGGAGTTCATCTTTCAGTGTCATATCTTTTTGCCTTTTCATACTGTTCATGGGGTTCTCAAGGCAAGAATACTGAAGTGGCTTGCCATTCCCTTCTCCAGTGGACCACATTTTGTCAGTGGTCTTATGGTTATCAACTTCCAGTTGCTGGGGAGGAGGCTTACATTTGAGTCAGAAGTAAACAAAGGAGATTGGAAGATGTTCATTTCTCTCATCCTTTTCTAAAGTAAATTCAGAAGAATAAATGAATGTGTAAGAGATTTTATGGGAGAGGAAATAGGGAAGATGGCATTCTTTTATGGCCATGATTCTTTTATGGCCTGATGCAAAGAGCTGACTCATTGGAAAAGACCTTCATGCTGGGAAAGACTGAAGGCAAAAGGAGAAGGGGGCAGCAGAGGATAAGATGGTTAGACAGCATCACCAACTCAACAGATATGAATTTGGGCAAACTCTGGGAGATGGTGGAGGCCAAAGGCGCTTGGCATCTGCAGTCCATGGGGTCACAAAGAGTCAGACATGACTTAGCAACTGAACAACAACAACAAAACATTGCACAAGTCATCTGTGCAACTCTGCAATGCACAAATAAAAGGACTTTTTAAGTCCTTTTTAAATAGGACTCAGATCTCCGTTGCTTTTTGTCCACATTTCAATACAATAAACATTGGAACCTAGGCATAGATATGCTTCCAGTTGACTATATTGTTCTTATGAAAGGAATAAGATACATAGCTTTATATATATATTCTGATGCGAAGAGCAAGAGTGTACTCATTGGAAAAGACCCTGATGCTGGGAAAGCCTAAAGGCAAAAGGAGAAGAGGGTGGCAGAAGATGAGATGGTTAGATAGCATCACCGACTCTGTGGACATGAATTTGAACAAATTCCAGGAAATAGTGGAGGATGGAGGAGCCTGGTGTGATACAATCCATGGGGTTGCACAGAGCTGGACACAACTTAGTGACTGAACAACAACAAATTCTGTATGAGACTATAATGGTGGGTACATGTCATATACTTGTCAAAACCCAAAGATTGTACAATACCCAAGTGGACCCGAATGTAAGCTGTGGAGTTAAAGTGATAATGATGTGTCAATACAGATTGACTAATTGTAACAAATAGGCCACCTTACTCGTGTTGTCTATGACTGGAAGAGTCCAAAGGAAAAACAGAAGTATCATTACAAGAATGCATGCTAGGATGCTAAACAACAGAATTCAACTGTACCAACTTACCCAAGTTAGCTAGGGCCTTTTAAATTCCCTCCTCTTTGCCCCCCATGTCAGGATCAGAGGAGAAGATAAAGAAGATTCTAAAACACCAGGCAGGTCATTCCAAAGTTGTCTTCATGTATAGTGATTTATAGTATATCAGTATATACTATAGATAGTACAGATATATAATATGAATAACTGAGATTCTTCATAAATATTGAGGATTGTTGATGGTGGACAGCTCTGTCACAATGGGAATTTTCGTGTGAACAGATCAAAGTGAGAATGAAGCTATGGAACTTGTGACAGTCATTAAATGCTTCACATTTTAGGCAGGATATAAATGGAACATTAATATATAAAAATTCTTTGGGTTGAAATCAAGTCTAGCATCTTACATTAAGAAGATTAATTAGTTAATGTTTATAAAGTACCGTACAGATATGCCCTTTTAAAATGCTAAGTATTCTAAAAACTACATTGTAGCATTTTACTAAGTGTAAAACATCTAATGTTCATCATTTCTTTGGTACAGGTTGGCAAAGATTCCTTTGGCAATGATTATATAGAAAACTTAAAACAGAATGATATTTCTACAGGTAAAATTTCATCTTTCTTAAAGTTAGTTTTTATAAGTTTCTTCTGGAATCTGGTTATAAGAAAAGTCGAATGTAAAATAGAGTTATTAGATCCTCCCCTGGTGGCCAGAGAATTTTTATGCTCAGCTTTGTCTAGTCTTGCTTGACTACCCTTTGGTTACTTCCTTCATATACATTTCTCCAGATGGGAATAAAATGGTAGGAGGTTACAAACCTTCATCTCATAGAAATGTTTCAAAAGTAGGTGACAAGAGAAAACAGGTGCTGCATTCACAGAAGATATTTTAAGAAAAGTCATTGAATGTCATAGCTGGAAATGATCTGAGAAACCACTGATGCTGATACCATCATTTTACAAGAGAGAAAACTGAAGGCCAGATTGGTTCTGAATGTGTCCAAGAGCACACAGCTAAGCTGGAGCCAGAGCTAGGACTAGAATGCAGGTCTTTGGCTCCAGTTCAGGGCTCTTTGCTGCTGCCAAAGGCTGCCTGATCAACATTTCCATTTACGCGCCAGACCATAATCCTTGATGAGATGCAAAGCTTATGAAAATGAAGAGAATCAAACAAGTTCATTTTATGAGTTTGACCTTTAGTCTTTCATCTCAAGTCTGTCATTTCTTTCACTGAAGAAAAGAAATATGGTGGTCTAGGAAAATGCACATGTACAAATGTGAATAATCTGAAGGAATTGGAAGCGGGGGTGGTTTTCTGGGCTGCCACTAATGTAGAAAAAAGGCACAACTAAGTGTGAAGACTTGTATGTTCCTCATTGTGTAGGTGATGGGTATAAATTAGCACTAATTACTTATTTCTTTTTTATCATTCCAGATGGCTAAAGGTTAAAAAGTTTTCCAAGGATTAGTGTTGCATTGAAATTGTTAAAAAATAGATTATCCCTGCCAGGCTGTACATACGTGATGATTTCTTTTTTCTTTTAGAATTTACATATCAGACTAAAGATGCTGCGACAGGAGCTGCTTCTATCATTGTCGATAATGAAGGTATATGTTTTGCACATTGGAGTATCGTTTCCAGAACTAGAGCAGAAACATCCATTTTTTACTCTATTCCTGTGGATCTCTTACCATACCCACCACTCCAAGGCCTAATGTATGGTCTTTCCAATGTAAATATATATGTTTCCCTTTATTTATACTTCCCGAGTTGATCGCTCAAATACAAAACTGTCCGTCCAATACAAATGAAGTGATATAGTTGCCTCAAAATTATACTTATATTCTGTAGCATCCCATTACCCTTCATGTGAACCCAGAATTGATATTTGTCTCTAAAAGTAGTTAAGTATTCATCTGTCACTTCAGTTACTAAGTAAATACATGTAAATAGATAGGTGCAAAGGAAAGTTGATGAATCATATTTATAGAATATTTACTGAGCAAATGGCAGCAACCAATTGCTTATAACTTGTCGTTAGTGTTCAATTTTGTCTGCTCTTTAAACAGCAATCAAATCTCAAAAGTCTATATATACAACGATATCTGTCACAGGGCCTTGCAATAGCTGAAATGTGTCTTTTAAAAACAGTAACTTTCCAGACTTCCCTGATGGTCCAGTGGTTAAGAATCCATGCTTACACTGCAGAGGGTGCAGGTTCGATCCCTGGTTGGGGAACAAAGATCCCGCATGCTGCAAGGTGCAGTCAAAAAAACCAGTAACTTCTCTTTACCCTCAAGGAAAGTTTTTAGAATTTCTGCCAACTATTTGAAGTATAAAAACACCTACATAAGATTTTTTTAAATCAGAGTTAATATTCAGAGGGCTTCCCACCATCCTCTGAATGGTGCTAGTGGTAAAGAATCCACCTGCCAATGCAGGAGACATGGGTTCGATCCCTGGGTCGGGAAGATCTCCCAGAGTAGGAAATGGCAACCTACTCCAGTATTCTTGCCTGGAAAATTCCATGGACAGAGGAGCCTGGCAGACTACAGTCCATGGGGTCACAAAGAGTCAGACATGACTGGGCACATACACACACACACAATATTCAGAAGGGCCAAGCATTTCATGGAGCTCCTAGGACAGAAGAACCTACTGCACTGTGAGGAGTCAGAGTATACTATATTTAAATTAGGATTTGACTGAACTGAACTGTCCCAATATGTCTTTTATTTATAATGCAGTTTCACAAAATCATTTATCACAGAAATTATGGTATTTTTAGTCTACTTTAGTGATCTCGAAGTTGCAGTAACAACCCCCCAAAAATATATTCCACTAAAAAACAGTAGACGAAAGTTTTCATTCTAACAACAGTCTGTATCCATTACTTTAAGCCATATCTTATGTAATTATCACTGCCAACAACAGCTCATTTCCTGTCTGAATCCTCTTTTTCAGTAGTGGGGTGGGGGGGTGCAGTTTCCAGGGATATCGTCAAGTTCTGTTTCTTCCTTATCTGGGTGACAATACCACATTTTCCATGCAAAGATATAATTTAATATTGTGTATGGGCTGCCTATTACAGTAGACTTTGTCTGGTTTACAGCATATGGGATAAGAGCTAACACAGATACCCAGAGAGGCCACAAGCAGCATCTTTAAGTGGAGGGATGAGTAGTGGTTCTGACAAGTTAAATTTGAGGTATGAATGAGCTAGCCATATGACAGTATCCACCAGACAGCTGTAGGCTCTGGCTTTGTTGCACATCAGCCAAAGCCAGGCCAAACCCGTCAGCAACACAGAGCAGCAGTGGACTGTGGCCAAGAGAATGAAGCCACTGAAGGAGAAAGGAGAGGAGGTATGCTGTCTTCCAGGATGCAGGTACTTTGAATTTTTCCAGTACTGAGATTGGGTTTACCCTGAACCATCCCCATGTTATCAAGTCCTCCTTGGTCAACACACATACCTGTGGTAAGATGACAGACTAGCACGTGTTCTGTAGTCGGAAGAAATTTAAGGTCATGTCTATACACAATTAGCACAAACAGCCTAGAGCACAGAAGACTGCTGCAGCCCATCCCTCTGAGTCAGGCTGTCCTATAGACTATAATGCAAATGATATCCATAAATTTACATTTTCCTTTGTTGTTGTTTAGTCGCTAAGTCTGACTCTTTGTCTGACTCTTTGTGACCCCATAGACTGTAGCCCGCCAGGTTCTTCTGTCCGTGGGATTTCCCAGGCAAGAATACTGGAGTGGGTTGACATTTCCTCCTCCCAGGGATCTTCCTGACCCAGGGATCGAAGCCACATCTTCTACATTGGCAGGCAGATTTTTTACCACTGAGCCACCTTTTTAGTCACATTTTAAAAAGTAAAAAGGACCAGGTAAAACTAATCTTAATATATTGACTTAATCCAAAATATTATCCTTTCAACATGCAATCAAAATGTTCTTTAAAATTAATGAGATATGTTACCTTCTTTTCTTACTACTCAGTCTTTGAAATCTGCTATGTATTATGCAACTGAAGCTCATCTCAGCTGGGACAAGCCACATTTCAAGGGCTCAGTCACCACATGCGGCTTGTACTCACGACTACCCTAAGGGACAGCACAGCTCTGGAGAGTTCACCTGACAGAGAAAATGCACCCCACCCCTCCCCGACTTGGGTTGGACTGTAGAGAGTGGCTCTAAGTGATGAGCATGCAAGATTCCTCAGTCCTGCTTCTGTTTGACCTAGTACAGTACAGGCCAGATATCACTGTCTCCCTGTTACCTAGTACAGACTTTATCTGTTCAGTATTATAAAATGTGTTTTGATTTACAGAAATCACGTTTCAGAATACCCTGAGCCATACATGTGAACTGACTGCATACTAGACAGCATTAGTTTTTAGCATTAAGCAAGCTTCTTCCTGTTTATACTCATCATTATGACATCTGTCATTTAAGATTCAGAATCTTTACCTATACATTGTATCAGCCATTTCCCATAAGAGAAACTATTTTAAGTATGTTATATATAATTTTTCAGCTAATATTCTGTGTACATAAGAATACTGAAAGGGAAATCTTTTTTTTTTTTAGATTTTGCTCAAGATGATCAGAATAATATGATTCCTACAGAGATATAAAAGACTATCCATGGGGAATACAAAATTTAAACTGACTGTCTTAGAAATATTAAAATTCATACTTATAGCACATTTTTGTATATAATGATTTTCTAAGGGTGAATGTAACACTGCAGGATGTTGTTGCTTGATTTTGCTTGATTTTTAATATAAACGTCTAGAAATTCTTTATAGGCCAGAATATCATCGTTATAGTAGCTGGAGCAAATTTACTTTTGAATACAGAAGACCTGAGGGAAGCAGCCAGTGCCATTAGCAGAGCCAAAGTAATGATCTGCCAGCTAGAAGTAACTCCTTCAACTTCTTTGGAAGCCCTGAGAATAGCCCACAGCAATGGAGGTAATTTTACACATTTATCCTTTGTATAAAAGCTTTTATCACTGTCTCAGTGAAAGTTAACCTTTCAAGTTAAGCAATGCCATATTTTTCTGCAGTAAAATATTTTCTCCCATCTGAGATTCACTGTCTTTCTGTAATTCTCAATAATGTTAGAAAACCTTACAAATGGGGAGGGGGAAAATAACATGAGTAGCATTTCTGATATTCTGAAATATAAATCTCCAGTCTAGTTAGCAGAAATAATTCAAGTAGTAACTGGAATCTCTGAAAGAGCCCCTTGTCCAATATATACCCTAAGTAATAGAATGAATTCCATTCTGAGAAGCAGAGTTTAGGCTGCAGGTCATGGATAATCACTGCCAAGGTACACTTGGATAAACATCTCAAGGACTGAAGATTAAATCTTCCTCCTTTTTGTAAAACTTTATCATCTTTTCTAAAAACAACAAAAGATTATTTATATGTAATATTTTCTATGTTCCAGTGTCCTTTAAGTAGCTCTTTTTGTTTTGTTTTATCTTACACTTTGGAAGTTTTCAAACACACAAAAGCAGGCAGAATTCTATAAGGAAACCCATCATGCAGCTTCAACAGTTGTCAACTAGTGGTTAATCTTGATTCATCTGTTCTCTCACCCACTCCCCTTCTCTCACCCCCAACATATAAGAAACTTGAAAATATCCAAAGAGTTTGTTTGCTTCTTCTTTTTTTTTTTTATCACTGACTAATAGGAAATCATCTGAGTTAGAATCCCATTTCTGTTCCTTGTTAGCTTTATAGTCTTAGCAGAATTATCTGATTTTTTCAAGCCATATCTGTTAAATGCATATAGACATACTCCCCTACAGAATTGTTCTAAGAATGAAATAAAATAGGATGCCAAGTTTGGTGTAGTACTTCTCAGTAGACACCAATTTTCTTCCCTCTTTCACTTCTTTTTTTAAATTAAAATTAGGATAATATCCTGATCTCAGCAGCTTTTGGTGAAAAAAATCAAAATAAAAAGTAGCCACTTATCTAAGACAGTGGCTTCTTCTTGATATTGTGGCCATAGTTTTGTGACTTATACTAAGAAGAAAATAGGGAGAGAAGCACACTGACTTTTCCAGATCGAACTTTCTCATCAAGACAAAAAGAAGAAAAAGAAAAATGTGTGTGTGTATGTGTGTGTGTGTGTTTATAATAAGTGCTTTCTCTCAAAGTGTAAGTGTTCTACATAGCAATAAATGGAAAATAAGTTACCGAAATGATTTTGTGGAGAATTTTAAAATGTATGTCCTGATTTAACAAATTCCCTCTTGGTGAGACAACATGCTGTGGCAAATTTTCACTGACATTCAATGTATTTCTAATGGACTCAAAGCTGTCAGAAAGAATTTTAAGCCAAAACTCATTTGGTTACATTTTCTCAGGGTGTCACAGGTAAAGTCCAAGGCTTATGGTGAGCATTCTCCACACTGCATTCATCGTAATCAGGTGATGTGAGTACAACGCTCCACTTCATTCAAGCTCTTGTCTTTCCTTGTATAGGTCAAAGCATGTTCTCATGTAACTTCTCTTTTTTCTCTGCTATCCCTTGCTTCTCAGAGATGACTCTTCCTTCTGTCCTAGTCTAATAGCCTGTTGCCTATCCAGCTTGTGGAGGAGAGAAAGGTACAGCAACCACAGCTGAAGAGCTAACCTTTCACAGGTGAGGCTAGAGTTATCTGGATGGGCAGGCAGCCTGACCTGGGCAGTCATTTGGTTGGGGTCCAGCCATGTTTCCTCTGTTATCTGCCAGGCAATTTTTCTGTTGAGCTGGAGGACCTGGGGCATCAGGAATGGGTGGGAGTAGGTGATGGAGAGCTACAGCCCACCTCGTCTACTTCATATTTTTCCTGAGAGCCAGCATGCCTCAGGAAATTCTGCATGATCTTTCTTATATTGTAATACTGGGACTAGAAATACCTGTACCTATATGTACTTTACAGTTTAGAAAGCACTTTCATACATATTTGATCCTCAAAAGCCTTATGACAAAGTAAGGCCACATTATTCTCCGAGATTAAAGAGGAGAAGATAGACTCGGAGAGGTTAAGTAATTAGCTCAACCAAGATCACTGTAGAAACCATAATTCCAGACTCCAATACCCAAGTTCTGTGTACTAGGGCAAACTTTATTTTTTTTTCCATTTATTTTTATTAGTTGGAGGCTAATTACTTTACAAAATTGTAGTGGTTTTTGCCATACATTGACATGAATCAGCCATGGATTTACATGTGTTCCCCATCCTGAACCCCCCTCCCACCTCCCTCCCCATCCCATCCCTCTGGGTCATCCCAGTGCATCCAACCTGGACTGGCGATCTGTTTCACCTTTGATAATATACATGTTTCAATGTTGTTCTCTCAGATCATCCCACCCTCGCCTTCTCCCATAGAGTCCAAAAGTCTGTTCTATACATCTGTTTCTCTTTTTCTGTCTTGCATATAGGGTTATCGTTACCATCTTTCTAAATTCCATATATATGCATTAGTATACTGTATTGGTGTTTATCTTTCTGACTTACTTCACTCTGTATAATGGGCTCCAGTTTTATCCATCTCATTAGAACTGATTCATATGTATTCTTTTTAATGGCTGAGTAATATTCCATTGTGTATATGTAGCATAGCTTTCTTATCCATTCGTCTGCTGATGGGCATCTAGGTTGCTTCCATGTCCTGGCTATTATAGGGCAAACTTTAAATAAAGAAACTGTTGCGTCCTATTGATTTCAAGGAACTGAGCCTTTATGAAGAGTATCTCTAGAAAAGTGAAACCGATGAATTGTAATACTCTCCAACATGTAGCCTAAGCTTTCAGTGTTATTACTGCTTAAGTCACAGAGACAAGACCCTACAGTGTTTTCGGCAGTGTGTCCCCTACCTGCCCACATAAAACACATACACAAGCAACTGAGCACACATGTGCCTTTGTCTAGTATCCAGCTGGTCCCCATTTGGTACTTATCAGTCAGACATGGTTTAGAGTCTATACTGTGAGTGGTGTGGGTGTGTGTGTGTTTGAATTTAATGTGTCTTCATTCTCACCTGAGAGAAGTGTATAGTACAATAGAAGTAGCACTGGTTTGGGAGTCATGAAGTATGGCTCTGAATTCAGAATCAAATCACTTACCAAATGGAGGACCTCGTGCAAGTACTTCAGTCCCTCGCACTGGGCCTCAGCTTCTTCCGTGAAACATGGAATCGGACTGAGAGCCCTCACATTCCTTTAATGTAATGTGAGAGTGGGCTGGTCACAGAGCAGAGCAGGCAGAGCCTGAAGGTCTGTTGAGCACTGAGTGTCCTGCCCATTGCCCAGGGCTGGCATAGGTGCTGATCAGCATTATTCCATCTACAAGAAAGATGGTAAAATCATTGTCGACATCCATTGACGACAGTAAACCCATTGCCATGGGTTTATTTCACGACTCCCTTATCTCTGTAAGCAGTGAGGTTTGACTTAAACACATTGTATAACTGGATTATATATCAGGTGTTAAAATACAGAGAAGAAAGTACCCCCTCCATCTTTGAATATACTGTCTCAGAATTTACCAAAATTAAAGAATTGGCTTTACGCAACACCTGCAATGTCAAAAACGACTTGAGATCCCTCCGCAGCCCTCTCCTGTCTAGGCCGCAGTGTTGTGAGGGAGGCCCACGGCAGAGCTGGTACTGCAGCTGCTTGTGATGAAATTATGCATGTTGGTTCTGGCCTTTATATCCATTTTAAAGCAAATGGAACATTACAGGAACAATTATAAATAATTGAAATTGTAAGATCGCCAAGAAATTAAATTCTAGGTAGGATACAAAATATCTTTTAATGCCACTTTAGTCCTTTTCCATTTAGCAAACCAGGCTTCTTGGCTGGCCACCTTGACTCTGATGACATGGTTCAGCACATCACCCAAGCTTTGGGTGTTTTTGTTGCTCAAGTCACAGAGAAGACGCTCTAGAGTGAGAGACTGCCTAGCCAGTGTTTTGGGTAGCCCAACTCTCCCATGGTTTCTTTACTTAGGGTGATGTCTTCTCCTGTTTCCCTGAGCTCGCTCTTAGGGCCTTCTTAACTATCCAGCCTCTGCCTTTCATGCTGACATCATTAAGAGTCAGCTTCGTTTTCCTGTCTTTGCCTGTACAATTGCCTCCCCGGGCCTCACCAGTTCCTCAGAGATTATTGTGCTAGCCATCGACAGGCTAAGACAATCGGGAGTTTAGTCCACTGTATGTGGTAATGAATAATAATTACTGTTGGGTACCGTCTGTCACCTCTGCAGCTCCAAGTTACTCCACGGCATTGCACATCCTGTGTTCTCTAGTTTCACATGGTTCCAGGATGACATCATTTTTTTTCCCATCTTGACTATTACAAATTTGCATTCTTCTTTGATGAGCACCATCTACTGATTCTTCATTTTTTTCATCATGGTGAAGTATCCATGCTTATTTATGGTAGCATGAGCCAAAAAGGATCCTTTCTTTGTGGTATTTTCACTTTTCTCCTAAATTTAGTTATTAGTTGGACTCTAATCCTATGTATTCAATTTCTTTTGGTAAGAATGCTTCCCCTTAGTAAGATATAGGCAAATAAGATTTGACTGGTTTTTATATAGTATTTACAGTCAAATTAAATTGCAGAGTTTCTCAATCCAGCATTATTGCTTAAAATTCAATGTAACTGATTCTTTAAAATTTGTTTTTTTATGGTGAAGAAGTTCAAATATATGTGAGTATATCATGGTAAACCCATATATACTAGCTTCAACATTTATCAACACTTGGCCAATCTAGTTTCACTTATACCCTTGGATTATTTTGAAATGAAGCCAAGACATTATATCATTTCACTCAGAGTGTACTTGTTTTTTGATGTGAGATATTATATATATTTTAAGAATTATGTCTTTGCATGGTATATATATTAGCTGCATGGCAGCTAATCTGTGGTCAGATTTATTCTCAGCCTTTTGTAACTAATCACTTATTAATTTAGTGAGTAATCTCTCAGACTTTTTTCTCTTCTATGTAGGTATATAAATATAAATACACATAGAGTTATATTTTATTTCTTTTGTTTAAAAAAAGAGGGGGATCTTCCCACAGACTTTACTATAATACTTTTTTTTAACTTATAAGTAAATTATAGAAGTCTTTCTATGACAAAACAGAGATCTGCTTCATTTTTTTGAGTAGCAGCAGGGAGTATTTGTCATAATTTTTTATCTACTCTGATAGATACTTAGTTTCTTTTGTTTTTTTCTGTTACAAGCAGAGCTCAATGAACACTACCATACCTTATCTTTGCAGGCCTGGGTATGTGTGTATAGGACAGGTTTAGAAAAGGAATTGCTAGACCAAGGCTCTTTTGCAATAAAATGGAACTTTTATAAGAAAAATGACTCTGTCCAGTTGTTCCATCCTGACAGCTTGCTCTAACCTGCGCTCAGAGCTGCTGGGTGCAGAATTGAGCATCGGATAGGGTGAACAATGGTGTTTCAACTCTATGCCTGCAGAAAATAGGGAGCAACATATTTGTTTTGAAAACCTAAGAACTAAATGAGTGTTTTAGAATGCTGGGCAATGACAGCCTTTATGCATAATTGACATCTCTGAGACCTTGCTGAGGTGGGAAAACCAATGAGAGAGATTTTTGCCAGGATCCAAAGTCCAACAGAAGGCAGACAAGATGGGTGGACAGGCGGGGGTATGGGGCTATGGCTAAAGGACAGTATAATAACAGTAATAATCCTTTACTTTTGTACAACAATTTATAGTTTACACAGGGCTTTTACATCCATTTTCTAATTTAAGCTTCGCAATAGCCCTGTCCAAAAATATGAGCAGCCAAAAATATACCATAGAATTTCTGTGGGTGGACATTCTAGATTCTAAAATAATGAAAATGTGGGAATAGCGTTGGCCTACAAACCGCTGGTCAACATCCACCAACCAAACCAAAATGTTGAGTAAGACCAAAGAAGGTGCAGCCATACACCAGCTCGCTTCCCCAGGCAGGAGTGAACAGCTTTCACTAGCCACGTACGGATACACATCTTCCCCAGGAACGTGGATGGATCAGCACGAAACTAACCATGGGAGAGCTACTTGCAGAACTTGTTACTGTGCACACTCACTGACCTCACCCCTGGAGATTCTGATTCAGTGGGTTTGAGGTGGAGCCTAGAAATCGGGCATTTTATAAGCTCTTCCCAGTGAGGCTGATATGCAGCCAAGTTTGTGAACCACTGTTCTAGAAGAGTCTCTGAGGACTGCAGCTAGAGTATTTTACTCTGCGGGTTTATAGTAAATTAGAGTTACTAAACACATAAGTCAGTGGACGTGGGTAAGGAAAAGACGACTAACCAAGAAACCAACACAACACTGTAAAGCAAGTATCCTCCAATTAAAAATAAGTTTAAAAAAAAGACCGACCAATCTAGTCAGGTATTCTGGTGTATACATAAGTGTTTTGACAGAAGGAGAACTTCCTGTGAATGTAATTTTTAAATACTTTTTAAAAATGTTTACAAAGTTCCACAACAAAGACTACTGTTAAATACTGTGCACTGGCATGGGGGGGCTTGTGTTGCTATGGACAGAGTCCTGTCCTAGAGAGGCAACCACTTGAGAAATGACTAAACCCTAGACTTCAAACTAGAGGACCCTGGGTAGAGACCCTGCTTAACCATCTCCCAGTGTGTGTCCTCAGGCTGACCTCATCTCTGTGAGGCTCACTTTCCTCCTCTGAAAAATGTACTTCTTCTGACACTGTGATCGCTGTGATATTCTCATTTTTCCTCTTTCTGCTGTCCCCATCCATTCTCCTCTTGTAGTCTCCTATTCTGAGCTAGCTCTCAGCCTCTGATTGAATTTCCCCTCCTTTATCAATCTTTACCTTATGTTCCCAGATTGCCTGTAGAAGCTAAGATTGTAAGCTTTTGTGTGAATGTGTATGGTTGCATATATGAAATATATTCATAAGGTATTTTAAAAAATAGGTGCTCAAACCATGCTTATGTACATGACCCTTCTACTTACTATCCTTACCAGGAAATTTTTGAGCTCTTCATTGTTTCCTTTCTATCATGTCTTTATTTTTTTCCTAGAAAATGGATTTACGAACTAGCCTTGCAACTAAGTGCTTAAAGTAATCTTCAAAAATGTTCAGCAGCCTGCATGTTCACATTTACACGTGTCCTTTCATATCACATCATTCAAATTCTTCTTTAATGTTCTTCTTGCTCTTTGCCAAAACTTCGTTACCACCTTAGTTGTAAATACTGATGCTTGTCCTTGGGGCTGAAATGTTGAAAGTAAAAAGCAGACCAAATGGACATAAGGAGGAATTGATACTAGGCTATCACGGAGACTGAGATTCCAAACTTTTCTACATCTATAACTAAGTTGATTTTTTAATCTGCTGGAGAAAATGGTTGTACGTGGGGGTTTCCCTTACTGAATGTTCACAAATGCACCATGTTAAAAACGATAACCACGGAACTCCCTTTTCACTCCTTTGTAGTGAAAACATTGTTCAATCCAGCGCCTGCCATTGCTGACCTGGATCCCGAATTCTACACCCTCTCGGATGTGTTCTGCTGCAATGAAAGTGAGGTAAGGATGGAAGGTTGTGCTCATTCCTTGAGAGACCAAAAGACTTTCATGTATGTGGATAAAGCAAAGAATCCAGGACTAACCACATGAAATTTATTGCATGTGAATTCTTGGACATAATGAGAACAGATTTTTTTTGGTTGACTGGGATGTAGAAAAAAGGAAAGTAGTGAGTCCTAGAAGAAAAAGGATTCCCTGAGTCATACCCATGTTCTGTTTTCTTATTTAATCATTCCATAATTTATGGACTAATTACCATTAGAACTGCCAGAGAGAGCAAACAAAAATGTGACACCCAGTTAAACTTGGATTTCAGACAAACAAGAAATAATATACTAAACATACTATAAAATTATTTGTTGTTTACCTGAAATTCAAGTTTAACTGAGAGTCCTATATTTTATCAAGCAGTGCTATTAATAATTAACATACAACTCTGAAGCATCTGCTACATTCTGTTGTAAAGACCCTGTAACTGCACTGGTAGACAGACACAGGTTCTCCATTGATGCCATGGGAAGCCCTTGGTGGCCACTCCATTGGGAAACCACCCTCTCAGTCTGTCTGAGGGTCATAATGTATATATCTGCATAAAATGTCTATCATTTTATGCAGATTCATATCATGCCACTCATTCTGAAGTATTTTAGGGAAAAAAATTTCCATGTTTTCCCTTTTATCGACCAGACAGTGTTAGACCAGCACTCATTCCACCATTGCGAGGCAAGACGTATTATACAATGCAACATACAGAGAAAGACAGTTTATAATTAATAAACTATAAAAGTAGTTTTCCACTTGGTACAAAGGCCGAATGAAGGTTTTTAGGATTTCCTGATATGCCTTTTGGTTAAGTTCATCTCTCAGAACACAAAGGAAACCAAGAAAGAGGACTGCCACAAGGAGAATAATTTTAGGAAGCCACAATAGGTTATGCAATATTTTTGAGCAACCATCACAGCCAAGCATTGCGCTGGGAGAAAGAAACTGTGGGAGATAGTGGCCATTTCACAATAAGATGTTAGACTACCCTCAACTGCCAAACTGGTTTAGATTTCCCTGTTATAGACACTTAGAGAGCATCACTGTTTATACTTCAAACACTCATCACAGCTTGGATTGCTTATTCAATACCTCCGTCTTCTCCTGGAAGGCCATGGACATCTCTTATTCACTGTTGTATCCCAATGGCTATCACTGCTGCATAATCAATTACCCCCAAATCCAGTGGCTTACAACAACAGTAACTATTTATGGTCCATCATGGTTTCTGTGCATCAAGAATTGAGACAGGACACAGCGTGGTTCGTTTCTCCTCTGCGATATCTGGGGGTCTCAGCTAGAAGACTCAAAGACTGAAGGCTGGAATCATCTAAAGCTTCTTTCACTCACATGCTGGCTGTTGGCCAGAACACTTACACATGGCTTCTCCTTGTGGCCTGGGCTTCCTCACAATATGGAAGTTAGGTTCCCACTAGATCCAATCTCCTAAGGAAAAATGAAGGAGAGAGCGTGAGAGCCTGGCAGAAGACATGGTAGCTTTTATGTGGCTTTTGTAAGTCACACAGCGTCTCTTCTAGCCCATTCTAATGACTGACATAGGAAAGTACACCCTGGCACCCTCTCAATAGAAGACTGTCATTGTCACAGTGTGAAAAGAGCATGTACAATGTGGTAATATATTGATAGTTATCTTTGGAAATTATCACCTTTTATATTATATTTGGAACATAGTTGGCACCTAGTAAATCCTTATTGAATGAATGAACAAATGAATTGAACTCTGGTCTTTAAGGAAACTGACCTCAAAAACTTAATGAAATAAAAAAAATAAACATTCTCATGGATGACTTCTAATCATGATAACAATGTAAATTCATGCTCTAAGATATGCCTTGTGCACCACACACAAACCATTGATTCATAAATATAAAAAGACAATGAAAACATACTTACAAGCTCAAAAACAAGATAAATAACTCTACAGATCAGAAATGGAATAGAATCACAAAGCATTTAGCCCTGGGCATGCGGTACTCCAGCCCCAGAAGCTGGCACTGGTGGCTGGATGGGTAATGGGCACTGAAAGAGTGCCACTCATGGGAGCATGGAGCAGTGCCCATGGCTGGAAACCAGAAGGGCTGGGCTAAGGCTTCCCTGCTAAGGAAAAAGAGTGGTGGAAGATGCTATGCCGAGAACATATAGAAGGATCTCAACATATGGAGATAGGAGAACAGAGACTGCCTCAGATTCAGAAAGAAAACCAAGCCAACTGATGACATAGAGACTAGACAGGTGGTACAGTATGGCTAAGAACCCCAGAAGAGGAACTCCCTGTTGTCGATGTAACATGTCGCTCTGGTTTAGAGACCCTTGGGGACCTAGTGAATGCAGCCATTAAACCACTAGAAAGGCAGGGATAAACCTGGTGGGAGTGAAATCTGCAGACTCTCCACCTCACTGAGAGCAGTGAGCCTGCAGATGAAGAAATGTACTGCTGTGAGAGATCCAGCAGAATCAACAGTCTGAAGAGGAATTTGCCCAAGATGAAATTCAAATAATAAAACAATAAAAAAAGACTTTAAAATAAGTATGATCAAGATTCTCATTCAATGGAGGGAAAAAAAGATTCTCATTCATTAAAAAAGGAGAACACAGGAAGCTCAACCTGGCTGTCTATGACAGCCTGGAAAGGTGGGGTGGAAGGGAGATTCAAGAGGGAGGGAACATAATGTATATACTTAGAGCTGATTCACACTGTTGTTGGCAGAAAGCAGCACAGCACTGTAAAGCAATTATCCTCCAATTAAAAATTTTTTAAAAAGAAGAAATTGTGAAAGAAAAACAGAATTGAACTGATGGTATGTGAATATGAAAACCAACCAATCAGAAGTCTTGAAAATGAAAAAATAGTCATTGAAAAAAATTTTTAAACACTCATAGAAAGATAAACATTAAACTGGGATGAAGAATTTGCAAACTAAAAGAAAATCTTGATCAGTTCACATGGAGAAAGAAAACTCAACTCTCCTAGAAAATAGTACAGAAAGAAAAATAGTTAACTATTAAAGAGGAAATTAGAGCAATGAAGGACAGCTTGAGAGGCTTCAACATGTGTCAAACTGGACTGAAGGAAGATGAGAATGGAACTGAAGAGAAACTATTAGAGGAAAAACTGTAGGGTGTTTTCTAGAATTGAGAAAAGACATGCGCCCTTAAAACATCAAAAGTGTATTAACAGCACCATATAAAATAAATAAATATAACTTTCTACTAATGTACATTTTAGTGAAACTGTATAAAATCGAGGGATTTAATAAAGATAAAAATATTTTTAAACAGAGGAAAAAAGATTACATATAAATATCAAGAATATCTGATATGTCATTGCTTGTAAAGGGGGAAAATGGAAAAAAATCAAAGTGTCCATGAAAAAGAGAAGAGATTTTGTTTAAACTGTAGCATATTTGCAGTATGGAATACAGAGCAGTTTTTTTTTTAAGCTATACATATCAACACAAATTTTAAAATGTTAAGAGGAAACGTACATTGCTAAATAATATATGTGGAAGATATCATTTAACTTTTTTAAAGAAAAATATTAGAAGCAAATAAAGTACAATAAAGTAAAATTTATTAAAGGTGGGTGGTAAGTACATGAGTGTTTATGCATTATTTTTCATGTTCAAGATTTTTCCATTAAAGAACAGCTGTTTAAAAGGTTTTTAAAAACCATAAGAAATCAATGTTTCTGAAAATGAACCATCCAGCTCAACGTACATAAGTGATCCCAGTAATGAAGATCAATGCAAACCTTCTTTTATATAAAAAGAAAAAGGAAAGTGGTCTCACAGTATAACCGACTCAGACTGAAAGGGTCTATGGAAAAGATCGGGTTGCAGGGTACATGGTGAGTTTAGTGAAACCCATGCTCCTGGGAAAACTGACACCAAGAATGAGCAGACACAGAGATGACTTATAGGCAACAAGATGGGTTAATCTAGGCATGTTTGGAGCAAGTACAGGAAGGGACAAACCCACTCTTAAGATAGCATATGATTAAACTGTAACACAGAAAAGACAGAATCTGGTTATAAACTTTTTAAGTCAAAAAGCATCACATGATTCACCTAGTCCAGTGTATTTTCAGCTGCTTATCTCAAAACCATAAAGGTTCCCTGGAGATGCTGGCCGGGTACCTAGCAGGCAGGGAAGCAAGACTGCAGACCTTCACCCCTACTTCAGCTAGAGACTTGTTTATATTCTGCAAGAAACTACTGATCCTGTCCAAGCCCCACATTTTACAGATTTTTTGTGACTTGGAGAAGTTTCCAGAGTGAGTGAGCAGTGGAGGTCTCTGAAGGTCAGCGCATTGCTTTTTCTGCTATATATCAGAGCCTCTCCTGCTCTGCTTCCATCTTCTCAAGCAAAACAAACAGAAGAAATGAATGGTCTGCATACTAGTAATATGAAAAAGGCATTATGGCCCAAGAGAGGACTAAAAGGATTTAGGTGTGAAAGTTATGGGTATGATTTACATCAAAAATCATTGGCAGTGGCCCCTTGCTTCTTTCTTTTCCTCCCTTCCCCCTTCCCTTCTTTCTTTTGTGAAATTCTCTTTGCTTCCCCTAACTATTATGAAAATCATCATAAATAAAGAAAAGCTGAATGGTCAATGAATACTCATAGCCTCTCCACCTAAGCAGTTGTTATCATTTTGCTGCATTGGCTTCCCCTCTCCCCTGTGTGTATTTATTTTTGTTTTGGTTGAATTATTTGAGAGTAAGCTGCAGACATGATCCCTCAACCCTGAACACTTCAGCTTACATCTCCTAAGAGGAACTGCAATACTATTATCACATCTAGGAAAATTATCAGTAATTCTATACTATCATCTAATATTCAGGCCACATTCCAATTTTCCCAGTTGTCCCAGGAACATCTTTTATAGCTTTTTTGTTGTCACTGTTATTATTTCATTTATTTTCCTGAGCCAGTATCCACCAGTGTTTGCCATGGCCTTGGTTGTTATGAAAAAGAAGGGAGACATCTCCTAGAAAACAGATCTAATCTAGAAGTGGACCCAGTCACTTATTCTCAACAGTTTATTTTCTCTTTTGTGTATTTCAGGCTGAGATTCTGACCGGCCTTGAGGTCGGCAGCCCCACAGATGCTGGGAAGGCTGCATTGGTGCTCCTGGAAAGGGGCTGCCAGGTCGTAATCATTACCTTAGGTGCTGAAGGATGTGTGATGCTGTCACAGACAGAACCTGTCCCAAAGCACATTCCCACGGAGAAAGTCAAGGCTGTGGATACTACGGTAGGTTTTTCAATTTCAGAATCCTTTTGGCCTTTGAAAATCATCATTTAGTAACTGAGATACTGCACCTGAATTTTTGGATCATGTGGTAGAGGCCCTAAGAGGTAATATGTTGGAAGAGAATAACAATCAATCAGGCTGGAAAACTGTATCTTAACCCTCTCTAGCCCACTGTGGGACTTTATACAAGTCCCCTTAGCCTCTCTGAATTAGTTTCCTCCATAAAATTGGAATCAGTAAAATTGTACCCATATTACCTTTATTCATTCATTCATTAAATAAGCCTTGATTGAATGCCTGCTATATGCCAGTCATGTGTTGGGTGCATATGTATAGTGATATACAAGACAAAGTCTCTGCCCTCATGGGGCCAGATTTTTAAACAATAAGCACACTGCTGGATCTTACAAGCCTCTTGCCTAGAATGAAATAGCAAAGAGCACTAGTTACTATTGTATTATATATATATACTAGATAATATATATTTATTATATTATATATTGTATGTTTTATTATATTTATACAGTATGTTTGTTTATTTCATTGCTTAGGAAAGACTTTAAAATGTGGCTTATTTATCAAAAAAGAAGCCTATGGGCATTTGATAAAGTTTTAGATACAAATATGCATTGAAATATATAAGTGCAAGGAGTACTTCTTCTTACATATTATTACTTCTTACATAAAATTACATCCTGAATGCTTTTTAAAATGTGCTTTATCAGGAATTTGATAAACTATACTTGGCAGTGTTATTCTCATCATATTTACTTATTTCTGAAACCACTAGTTTTTTTGCTTTGTTGAGAAAGACAGTAACTTGCATTTGAAAGACTCCTTCTTAGTTCTGAACTCAGTCCTCCATTAGACTAAAACTATTCCAGGTCCTGAACTAGAGCAGAAGAGTTTGTTCTCTTTTGCTGAAAATAAAACGAAGGGTCCTTGTGACCTTCAGACCTCTGTGGCTGCCGAGAAGTGGCTCAGCCTCTGCTTTCAACATCTGTGTCAGTCACAACTCCTTTTGCTCATAAGTACCAACCAGAAGCACAACCCAAATGACTTAACCCAGAACACGGGATGCATCTGGTGCACATAAGTAGAACGTTCGAAGGTACGGGAGAATGCAGAGACTAAACCGTGTCCTCAGGACTCACTTGTTCACCCTCGCCCTGTCAGCTCTGCTTGCCTTGTGGTGGGCTTTGAGCTCAGACTGGCACCCTCTGGGTGGTAGCCCCTGGCAGCCCCCTTCCCACACTGTGTCTCACATCGTGATCCCATCCCTGATGTCAAATAAAAATCAAAGAGCTCTTTTCAGAGGATGGGAAGTGGATGTTGATCAGAGAAAGCCACCTGTGCCCACCACAGAACATTCATGTGGAAATGCACTGCTTGGGTATAGGACTGATTGGAGAAACTAGCCTTGGAAATGTTCAAATTGGAATCAGTAGTGATAATGCTCAGTAATTTCACGTTGAAGGACTGGCTTTCACAGATCAGGATGGATTATAACTTTGAGCATCCTTTGTACAGCTGTGTGCACCAAGGAGGTTTTCACACTTCATTGATACTGTCTTGTGCCCTTTCATTTGGTTTCTGAGCTCCTGCAGTTAATTTTTAAGGTTCAGGAAAGGTGAGAGACAGTGATAGTTTAGAGAGAACGGATTACTTAATACTTGGAGGCAGGAGAGAGAAGATGGGATTGGGAAGATCAGGGTGCTAGATCAGGATTGACAAGTTTTTTCTGTGAAGGGCCAGATGGTAGAGTTTCAGGCTTTATATGCCATATGCACACATGCTGTGTTACAGCCACTCAGCACTATCGTGGTAACATGAAAGTATCCATAAACAACTTTGTATGCTCTTAAAATTAAGTTAGTATTAATCTAAACTAGGTTAAGTTAAGGTGTTAACTGGAATCACCAACTAATTACAATTACTAAGAACAAAAAAAGAAAAAAATCAAGATAGTTAAAATGGTACACTAGAAAATATCTATTAAACACAAAGGAAGACAGTAATGGAAGGACGGAGGAATAAAGATACTGAAAGATATGCTGTTGTAAACTGGATAAAACTAAGACCAAGGAAGATGTAGAGTCCAGGAAACAGGTGATGCAACTTGGTACTGAAGAATTTATTTGCAGGGCAGCAATGGAGAAACAGACATAGAGAACAGACTTATGGACATGGGGAGAGGGGAGAAGAGGGTGAGATGTATGAAGAGAGTAATATGGAAACTTACATTACCATATGTAAAATAGAGAGCCAACAGGAATTTGCTGTATGCCTCAGAAAACTCAAACAGGGGCTCTGTATCAATCTAGAGGGGTGGGATGGGGTGGGAGGTGAAAGGGAGGTTCAAAAGGGAGGGGATATACCTATGGCTGACTCATGTTGAGGTTTGACAGAAAACAACAAAATTCTGTAAAGCAATGATCCTTCAATTAAAAAATAATCTAATTAAAAAGAGAGAGAGAGAAGTCAGTGACAATGAAGGAAAGTTCCAGGACAATAGCTATGCAGAAACCCCATCCTCAGTCAGTCCAGATTAAAGCGGGAACTTGGCGGGCTCTTCCATTCCGGAAGGAATGTCTTCCAGAAACAAAAAAGAAAAAGAAAGAAATAGTGGAATATCCAGCTATCCAGTGTGTTTGAATATGCCCAGAGATTTTTAGCTCTCTTGCAGAATTTGAGGGTGAAACAATAATTAATTAACCAAACATGGAGATTATAATCATATCATGAAAATGGAAAGATAAAGTGAGTGTGTATTTGCGTGCATATCAGGGAAGATAAGAGAACTAAATGCTCAATTTCCTTAGCTAGAATTCAACCAATAATATCTAAAACAGATCAAAAAAAAAAACAGTATAAACACTCCAAGAAATAGAAGATAAAAACAGAGGAAAGCAATAAAAGAACTTAAAGTATTTGCTTCATAGAAATGGGAGTGGAATGGGGCATTTACACTTTAAGCTTTGTCTTTTAGTGTACCTCCACTATGAATATGGATGGCTTGGATTTTTTTTTTTAATGGCAAAACACAATGAGGTACCATTTCACACTCACTAGGATGGCCATAATCAAAAACAGATAATAGCAACTGTGGACTAAGATGTGAGAAATCAAAAGCCTCAAATGTTGCTGACAGGAATGCAAGATGATGTAGCCACTTTGGAAACCGCTATGGAAGTGCTTCAGAAAGTTAAATTTAGGATTACAACAGACTCAGCAATTCTCCTTCCAGGTATATAGCCAAAAGAGATAAAAATTTATATTACACAGAACCTTATCCACAAGTGTTCACACAGCATTATTCATAACAGACCAAAATTGGAAACAAACCAAATTTCATCAACTGATATAAATGGATAAACAAATTGTGGTAGACACATATGATAGGATATTATTCAGCCAAAGAAAGGAATCCTGATACATGCTATGGCATGGATAAACATCTGAAACATTATAGTAAGTGAAAGAAGGTAGGCATAATAAGCTACATATTGTAGCCTTCATATAAATTCACTTCAATTTATATGAGATATCCAGAGTACATATATCTAGTGAAACAGAAAGTGGATTGACAGTTCCTAGAGGGTGGAGAAAGGAGAGAAAGGGGAGTGACTGCTATTGGGTATAGGGGTTCCTCTTGGGGGTGATAAAAATGTCCTGGAATTAGATAGTGCTGATGGTTGCACAACCGTGTGGATATACTCAAAATCACTGAATTGTGCACTTTTTAAGGGTGAATTTTATGGTATGTGTATTTCTCTCTCAATTGAGAAAACAAAGAACAGACAAAAATAACAAAAAGCCACTTCACTAATGGATACTCTTGTAATAAAGAATCTTTCACTTAATTGCTCTACTAAATCTACTGAATGGGCACTCAACATCCCTCTCCCCAACCCTGAGCAATGGAGATACCACAGGAAACAAGGGTAGTTATTTTCTGGGCGTAGAATCTCCCTCAAGCTTTTGTACGCTGTCTTTCTCCTCTCATCCAGCACTCTCATTATTACAACTCTTGCTTGTTCTGCACTCAACTGTTGAGCTTCTTCCTAAGCCTCGTAAAGAGGAGCTAATTCACCTGGTGAGGTGAGGAACTCCTAGGGAGGCATTTTCTTCTGAACAAATGGGCTCCTTCACTTTCCTGTCAGGAGGGTATTACTGGCTCTCAGGTGGTTTATAACCTTCTCCCTTTTCTCCTCCTCCTCATCCATTACACCTTAGCAAAAAATCCTGCTGTGCAACCTAAATATATCCACCTTTTTTATTTTCCAGTCATATCTCAGTAAAGCTTGGGGGGAATTCAGTACATCAGGAATGGCATGGATGGTGGAAACGTCTTTAGTTAGTAGGCACGTTGTCCACTGGAGCCAGCCAGCCCTAGAAGGAGCCATTGCCCCCTCTACACCAGGCCTCTGCAGGTTGCTATGTTCGGTTTTGCCTCAGTGTTAATAGTTGGATGTATCGCTTCTATTTTTAATCCGTTTTTCCCATTGTATTAGAGTGAGAGGGTGGCAATAGCTGCAGATGTCCTCAGCTCAGTTTGGAAGACGTGACAGATGTGTCTCTTTTCCCATCTATGGCACTCATGTCCTCGCTCAGGTCCTTCCAACCTGAAGGTCAGGGGCTTGCTTTTTTGTGTTCATGACGGCACTGAGCGTTCGCCCCACTGTCAGAGTTACACACAGATAAGCATGGTGATACTGTAGGATTATTGTCACCGTCTGTCGACTCTGTAAAATTCCTGATTTACAAGTTTCCATATGTAAATGGTTAAGTCCTAGAAGCTATATTGATACTCTTAATTTCAAGAATTCAGCCCAAAGGCTAAATCTGTCCTCTCAATAATCACTCACTTTGTAATAAATCATAATTCAGAGTATATAAGTAAGCTGAGAAAAATCAGAAGCCAGTGAGATGAGGGATTCATCTTCCCTATTTTTTATTCCTCTTTCTTTCTATCCATTTGAGTCCTGTAGTATTCACGG